CTAGTATTTGGAATAAAGATGTGTTTGGCAACATTTTTTGTAGGAAAAGATGGTTGCTTGGGAGGATTGAAGGAATCCAGAAATCCCAGGCAAATATCTATTCCCATAACCTTTATGCGTTGGAAAACGATCTGATTGATCAGTATAACAAAGTTCTTTATCAAGAGGAACTTCTTTGGTTCCAAAAATCCAAGTCAAAGTGGATCACTCAAGGTGATAGAAACACCAAGTTTTTCCATCTAACCACCTTGATTAAAATGAGAAGGAAGAATATAGATGTTTTGAAATGTGAGAGCGGTGTTTGGATTGATAATCCTGATGAACTCAAGAGCATTGTGCTGAATTATTTTACTAATCTTTTTGCTCATAATCCTACCATTTCTTTGAATCATTGGAATAATTTGGCTACTTATGTATCCAATCTGGATGAGAATTGTGACCTCATGAATGTGGTGACTAATGAGGAGGTTTGGAGGGCTGTGAAAAAAATTAAAGCCTTTAAAGCCCCAAGAAGAGATGGATTCCAAGCCATCTTCTATCATACCTACTGGAATGTGATTGGCCCCTCAGTGTGTGAGTTTATTAGAAATTGTTTTGCTAACCATTCTATTCCCACAACCATCAATCAAACCGTTGTTGCTCTTATCCCTAAGATTGACAATCCTAAGACTATTAAATAGTTTAGACCCATTAGTTTGTGCAATGTGACCTACAAGATCATAGCAAAAATTTTGGTTAGTAGAATTAGACCCTTGCTTTGTAAACTTGTGAGACCTAATCAAAGTAGTTTTGTGCCTGGTAGATCCACTAGTGATAACATCATTATCTCTCAGGAAATTATTCATACCTTAAGTTCTAAGAAAGGTAAATTATGAAGTACGATCCTCAAAATTGACTTGGAAAAGACCTATGATAATATATCATGGGATTTTTTTGAAGGAAACTCTTAATGAATTTGGGTTTGATAAGAACCTTATTGAGATGATTATGTGTTGTGTTACCTCAATCAACACTGCTATTCTTTAGAATGGCGAACCCTTGCAAGAATTTAAACCTGAAAGGGGGTTGAGGCAAGGAGATCCTCTATCTCCCTACATGTTTGTGTTGTGTATGGAAAGATTGTCTAACATGATTAATGAGAAAGCTGAGCAAAGCAAATGGAAAGGCATCAAGACCTCTGGCAGGGGCCCTTGCCCGACTCATCTATTTTTTGCTGATGATTTAATGTTATTTGGCAAGGTTGATGTAAGAACTTGCAATACCGTTATGACCGCTATGAAAGAATTCTGTGAGATTTCTGGGCTTAAAATCAATGCCCAAAAATCCAAGATCTTTGTGTTTGCTAACATCGATAGAAGGGTGGCTAGAGACTTGAGCAATATGTGTGGTATTTCCCTAACCTCTGAGTTACAGGGATATTTGGGTGTTTCCCTTTTGCATGGGAGAGTCAACAGAGGGCATTTTAATAACATTCTTGAGAAAATGCAGAAGAAGCTGGCTGGGTGAAAAACCAATGTATTGTCTATGGCTGGCAGAACCACCCTCATTCAAGCTGTGAGTTTTACTATTCCTGCATACACCATGCAAACCACAACTTTCCTTAGAAAGTGTGTGATGATATTGATAAAATCAATAGAAATTTCTTGTGGGGTGATACTCTAGAGAGAAAGAAAGTCCACCTATGGCGGGCTTGGTTTAAAGAAGGCCAGAGATCAAAATCTGGCCTTACTCTCTAAACTTGGCTGGAAACTTATGAATAATGAGGAAGGCTTGTGAACTGATGTTCTTAAAAGCAAATATTTGAATAGCACCCCTTTTTATTACTAGCCTAAAGGGAAGACTGCTTCCCATGTGTGGAGAGGCATTCTTCAAACAAGGTATATTCTAAGAAAATTGGTGAAATGGAAAGTTGGTTATGGTGAATTGGTGGATATGTGGAAGGATTGGTGGTGTGGAAATAAATCCTTTGAGGATTTAATGTCTGACAAACACTAATCCAACCATACATCTGCAGATAGTTTTGGTATTGTGGGTGAGTTCTTGAATGAACAAAGAGAGTGCAATGTGGAAAAAGTGTCTGCTATCATGCCTGCTAATATGGCCACTATCATTTTGGAAACCCATCTTCTTTCAAATACTGTCACAGATAGCTTAAATTGGAATGAAACTCAATGTGGAGGGTTCTCAACTGCTTCTACGTATGAATTAATCATTGGCAACCAAAGGTGTGAGAATAATTGGAGCTGGCTTTGGAAATTAAGGCTGCCTCAGAAACTTAGAGGCTTTTTGTGGCTTATTCTACATGGGAAGCTGTTAACTAATCAAATGAGAATGAAGAGGGGTTTGACCTCTGATCCCAACTGCCCTAGTTGTTGTTTGGTGGAAGATATGAATCATCTTTTTAGAAACAGCTACAAAGCCAAAGAAGTGTGGTTGGCTTTATGTGGTAGAAACTGGTGCAGTGATATGAGCAGAAAATCTTGGCAAGATTGGCTTATGTCTAATTCCAAAAATAAAAAAACATTTTAATGATCAGGCAACTTGGTCTTCTACTTTCATTGTAACTTTATGGAAAAATTCGAAAAATAGAAATGTTTTTGTTTTGAAGAAAAAGTTATGTAGTTGCCAAGATAACATTAAATTTATTCTTGATTCCAGGGATATTGACTTGGCTTTAATTTGTCCATTACTAATCCCAGGCCTGCTTTTAGACAGATTACCACCTGCAGGAAAAATCAAGTTGAATGTTGATGGAAGTAGGAAAATGGGAGGTGGAGGAGTCTTCAGAGATGAAATAGGCACTTGGGTGTGTGGCTACTATGAAAGTATTGACAGTGGCCCAAGTTTGGAGGCAGAATTGTGGGCTCTTTACAAAGGACTAACAATGATGCTTCCGAAGGGGATGCATGAGGTAATCATTGAAACTAATGCAAAGCAAGTAGTGCAGCTGATGAAGGAAGACATGGATGATAAATTCCCTTATAAGGGCCATTTGGAGGATGCAAAAATTCTTTTCAGATAGTGTGAATGCACCATACACCACATCTACAAAGAAGGGAACTTGTGCACTGATGCTTTGGCAAAACTTGGAGCGGAGCAACTTGAAGACATCTTGGTGGTCAACGAACCACCAGTGGAAATTAGGAACTATCTTGTTGCGGACTTGATAGGCCTCTCTAGGGAGAAGGCTTAACTTTTTATTTTTTCTGTTGTACCTAAATATATATATATTCACATACAACGAACGAAATACTAGAACCAATATTTATATTAATATTGTTTAATACAAGTCAATACAAATTAAATTTAACTAGCAACACCATAAATAAACAGTTTATTGATTTATTGGCTTATTTGAGTTATATCAACTCTCTACTTTCTTATACGTCTTTTCGTAATAAACAAAGAAGTTAGCTTATAAGTTATACCCAAAAAACCTAAATTTGAGTTGAATTTAATTTGTATTAATTTACATTAAATAATATTTTATTATTTACTTCTGATATGTTCAAATTTTAAAATCTTATTTATTTTAATTATTTATTATTAATTGATTCACGTAGCTATGAATATAACCCGAACTAACTCGAATTACATTGAGTTTGATTGAATTGGTAGTAATACATGATTGATTTTATTATGTGCTCAAAAAACTTAAAACTATTTATAATTAGAATGATTCTAAATTTTAATCACAAATTAAAATAGTTAAAAGGTTAAAAAAATAATTAAAAAAATAATTGTCAAACGACAATCAATATTTGACACCACTCTAATGTAGGCTTGTCATTTTGGTATAATCATTAGTCAAATTCAATTATTTTGTGTTAAAATTATGAAAATTGAGATAATTTCAACCCAACGCAATCTAATCCTATCTAACATTTGATAGTACGATGATTTTGCCAAACCTTAAACTAGTTTAATTTTATTATTTTTTTCTGTTTGACTAAAATAATGACATATCATTAGAGTACTAATTTTGTGAAGTAAGGTAACTTTTTTGGTTTTGACAGAACTAATAGCATGGCTTTAGAGATGCTCTAACAAACTCACATTCAGGTGAGCCATAAGATTTGTGATAGTTGCTTGCCACGTGGCAAACACAAAATTCAATCCCCAAATGTACCCTTCCTATTGCCCAGAAAAAATATTTTATTCACTTTAAAGGTAGATTAAGTGCGTAATTTATGCACTTTATAATTATTTTTAAAAAATTTAATTTTATATTTTTTAATAAAAGAAATTATAATTAAATATAAAAAATAATTGTAATCAAATATCTCAAACTTATGCACCTTATAATTATTAAAAATAATAATTTTATAATTTTTAATAAAAGAAATTATAATTAAATAAATAAAAATTATAATCATTTATTTACGAGTAAATTACACTTCTACTTTTTGAGATTTTAGTTTAATATATATCACATATTGACGTTTGAGAAATTAAATTAATTTTCTTGTCATTGTAATTATTTAGACAGAATGAAGATATTAAATTCATACATTTTCTATTTTCTTATTTTGTTTTGCTTTATTTTTTTTAAATATAATTTTTCTTATTTTTTTACTAGATTTATTGTTTTTTATATAAGTGAAAAAATTATGAAATAAACCTATTAATCACACAAATAAAATGTAATTTTCAGAACAAGTAAGATATAGGTCAAGTTTGACATATTATAAAAAAGTTAAAAAGTTAAAAAGTTACTTAAAAAGTTAAAAAGTTAACAGTATTCACCAAAAGTCAACAATTACGGCTGCACAACTCCAAATCCTAATTTTTTCCTACAAATCAATTTTTATGATTTTTTATTACACATTTTTTCATAAAAAATTAAAAAATTAACCCAAATATCCATATTTCCTTCTTCAATTTTTTAGTCTAAAAAGACAAAAAATATACTTATTTAGGACACCCCCAACAATTTCTTAATTGGTCTAACTTTGAGGGTGTCAGTGTAATTTATCTTTTATTTATTGCTCTGCTCTCAAGCAATTTCCCCAACCTCTCGAAAACCGAGCGGTCGCCATTTTTGAAGCACCAAACAAATACACATTAAACACACCCTATTTATTGTATTCTCTCTCTCTCTCTCCACCATTGCTAAAATAAAACTAGTTTCTCGATTCTATTCCTTCCTACCTCTTGCCTACTTCCTTTGAATCTCATCAAAATTCTTTACATATAGACGTAAAATCCTAAGATAATCACAATCTGTTTCTCTGAATTTTCTTTCTCTCGGCCATGGCTGACAAGTCGGAGAAGACGGTAGTCGAAGAGGTCTCGAAAGTGGTGGAGTCAGCCAAAGAGTTGCAGGACTCAGCTGCTTCCTTGATTTCCAGAACCACTCTCGAAGAAGACGCTCTCAGACAGCGATCTCTCTCTCTCGATTCCACTATTCGCAGACTCCGTTCCTCCATTGCCTCCTTGCTCCACCATGGCCAATTGGATTCCAAAGAAGCCGACAAAGTAACACCAAATCGACATTTGTATTTTTTTTTTCATTTTTAATTTTTTTTTAATAATTTAATATTATGATTTTGTTTTTTCTTTAGCTGGAAGAAGAATTGTATAGAGCTAGCTACGTATTGAGTGAAGGAGATGCGTCGGCTTTTATTCCAATTCCAAGCAAATCTCATGGTGCTTTTCATTTTTATTGTTGATTTGTTTGTTTTATTGATGATGAGTTTTGGTTTGTTAGGTGTCAAAGATGTGGTTAATTTTCGGATTGTTTGGTTACAGGGAGGTTCTTGAGTATGTTTCTTGGCCCGATTAATGTCCGTGCAACTAGGAAGGATGTTAAATTGAAAGTGAAAGAGGAGTACAATAGCTTCAGAGTATGTTTTTACCTTTATTGTCTTTATGTGATTCTTCCATAATCTAATTGATTATTTTATATTCAGAAAATGGGCAAATTGTATCCATCATCCATATAATTTACTTTTTGGTTCTTTCTACCATTTTTTCCTGATTTCATTGCAACAAGTATAGGTAATGCCAAGTGGTTCCTGAATTGTGGTTACTTGTTTTATTTGCTAAAAGTTAGTGCATCTGATTCATTGCTGCAATACAAAGCAATCCCATCTTGGGGACCAGCTCTTTCTGTTGAAGGGACTTTGGAATCCGAGCCAACGTTCTTGTTAAGTTACGTGCAGCAAAGTGGATGGAGTCAGATTGCTTAGGGTTTTGGGAAGAAAAACACTTGGAGGATAAAGGAAGACATAGGGACGTCATTTCCTTTAATAGAGAAGAAGGTTTGTGAATATCTGCTGATTTTAATACAGGAGGGGTTGTTAATGGCGATGGAGTGCTTTGTTGCACTAGTTAGCATGTGTGGAGATTTTGCAAAGAGCTTTATGATAAAAAAATGGGAATATATCTCGAAAAAACCATTGGTATGGGTTATGAAATAAATTTAGAATTCGAAGGGAACTGAAGAAGTAGAGACTTTAATTAACTTTGAAAGGAACCACGTAGCTTTTGAAGGGTGGAGAGGCTGACTTGTAATTGGAGCAAGTTCTGACTCTCCTGAGTATGTGTATGACCCACAGGGAGGTACATACTCAGGTTGCACCACCTTTACAGATTTTGCTAATATTACTTATTAAATAAAGGTATACTTAATTCTCTTTGGCCATAAGCATGTTGAACCTAAATGCCGTGCGTTGATATTGTTTTTACTTTTAGAAAAGTTATGCAATGGTATACGTTCTTCCCTTACCCCATGAAAATAGAAAATTATTTTTTCTCCTGTGCTATGGAATAATGATTGAAGTGTTAAATATATAAAAGGCAATGGCTCCTCATATAACCTTCAAAATTTCCATATGGCCATGGATGGACATCAAATTTGACACACAGAAGCGTGTAGGCACAAGAGAGAGGTGGGAACGAACGGTACTAGGATATGGTTCTCTGATTGGCAGTTGGAGTAAAATTTTCTGTTGGGGATACTCAACTCTTCAAAAAATATGTTTGGAGTAGTTTAGGTACCAAAATTGCTATACGATTTTAAATAAAATTGATATTTATGTCATTCCATATGGAGGAGGGTAAGATTATAAAATTGGGGGTGGGATGACATAAAATACGTGTGGGACTTGCTAGGAGGGTGAGATAAAATGAAGTGGGAGGAGAAGTTGGCAAGGTTGGCAGAAATAGAGAAGACCAGTACGTCAAAAGAAGGGAGCTTGGTTAAAAGAGGGAGATCACATTCAAATTTCAAAGTTGTCACTAAATTGTCAATGCTTGCAAGAGGATCAAACTTTAGGGGGAGAATTTGTCCAAGGGCTGGAGATGTCAAGAGAGGACAGTAAGTCTTATGAGTATGTTTTTTTGAGACTACAGAGTGGCAGCCAAATTTGAAGAAAGTAATTTTGATTTAGGTAAAGAAACAAGATTGATTGGGAAGGGGGCCATTCATGGAGGAGAAGGCAATAGAGGCTTTGAAGAAGTTGAATGGGAATATGGCCCTGCTATTATGTCTCTTTGTTATTGGCCCTGTTTGGTATGGTGTGGATCTTATTGTTGAATCGATGGTCTAGGCATTTGCTAGGTGGACAAGATGGTTGGTTGTGAAGAGGAGAGGACTAGAGGAGTGGTGCGGAAAGCAACATGTTAAAGTCACCAATTTCCCAAAAGCTTAAAGCTGTTAGGAAATAAGCCTAACAATGTATATTGTGCTATCTAGCACCCTCATTCACATGCAACTCCATCTTGCACGTGGAGAGACAGAGAACCAAACATATGGAGATTCAAACAACCAAACAGAGAACACGAAACCAAATGGGGTTTGAATACCAAATGCCAATAGAGAGATTTGAACCTAAGACCTCTCTCAACCTTAACTCTAATACCATGCTTTTGGGAAAATTGGTGACTTAACACAACAGACCTTTTAAAGTCCTGATTATTGTGTTTATCATCAACAGGAAGATGCATACTCAGTTTGCACTCACTTTACAAATTATTGATAATGTTACTTATAAAAAATATATATACTTATCACTCTTTGGCCATAAGCATGCTGAATGCGATTGTAAATGTTACTCCTTGAAAATAGAATTTTTTTTTTTGGTGAAATATTGATTGAGGCTGTTAGAATTTTTTAAAATAAAAAACTTCTATGGGTGTTTTTCAGATATATCTATGCTGTTTTGTTGGCTACTGGTGGTAAAAGGCTTGGATGTTAGAAGATATATATAATTGACCTTTCTACTGCTACTCGGTGGTATTCTTAGGTTAGTATGAAAGGAACCGGAGGTATGGGTTCTCTCGACAAAGTGGAAGGGAGGTTTCTTATAAATGGAGGAGGCTTCTATGTTAAGTTGTTGACTACAGGATTTTTGTTGGTCCTCCTGATTCCTGTATCCATTTAGGATCTGGCTTGTATCTTTACATTGTGTGTATTTTGATTCTATCTACTCTCAATGTGTACTCATGCAATTCTTAAATCATTGATTAATAACTTATTTTACTTGTTAGAACAATAGACTAGAGATTCTAATTCATAATTTGCAACACTATCATGGACAGGATAGAACTGCGTTTCTGTTTCTTTTTTTCCCATCACTGCTACTTGTGTTAAGGTCGTGGCTATGGGGTGGATGCTTACCGGCATTGCCTGTTCAGCTTTACCAGGTACTGTTGTATGGGAAAAAGTTTTGTTTTAAGGAAATTTTTACTTTTTGATTTGTTTACTATACTTTTGTTTTTTGTTTCTAAGCATAATGAGCCTATTATTTCCAGGCATGGTTGTTAATTCTCTACACAGGTTTGGCTTTGCGAGAGAACATACTTAGAGTGAATGGAAGTGATATTCGCCCATGGTAATTTGATATGATCTTATATGCATTTTGTTGAATTTTGTGCTAAGATTGCCTTGCCTTTATTCTTCATCATTTAAACTATTTGTGTATTTGTGATTGAGATTTTTTTAAAATATATTTTCATAGAGTCGGACATTAGTAATTTCATCTCCCATGCCTTTCAGGAGGGAAAGTGAATGTGCAATTTTACTGGCAATGAATTTATGCTATAAAATAGAGTTGCCAGAAGAATCTTTTGACTTCAATGCTTAAAATTATAGCATGATATTCAGTAAATGAATTTATTCAATGTGTTGTCAAATTGCATATTGCAATGAATTAGAAAATGAACAGAGGGTAGAGTATATGAGAAAAATAATGGTTGTCAATAATGAAAGGAGGATATTACTCTAGATGGAGCTGCATGTTACAAAAGAATTCATTGAGTTGACTCCAAATAGACTTGTTTAATTTTGTTAAATTGAGTTTTTCTGGCAGTATCTTGTTCTCTTATATGCAGCAGCAGCAGCTACATTCTAATTCCAGGGAATTTCTGCCATGTTCAATATTACTGGACTCATATCATGCTTTTTATTCAACTGGAAGGCTAATTCTCTTTATTTTCTGAATTGTGTCAGAACTTGGATGAAAATGTGAAAATGCAGTGGAATTTTTTGTGATTCTTATCTGCCTCCTCGAGTAATATGCATACAACCACAGAATATGTTAATGCTTGCACTTGTGCTGATGTAGGTGGATAAAACATCACTACTTCGCTATGGCCATGGCACTTATCAGTCTCACTTGGGAGATAGAAAGAGAACCTGATTGTTCCCAGAAGCAGGTTATTATCCTTTTTAAGTGCATATTGAAATTTTGTTTTTGTTTTTGTTTTTTTTAATGAGTGAGACTGTACATGTACTGTGCAGAGAGGGGTGCAACTTTTCCTTCAATGGGCTATCATGCAAGGAGTTGCAATGCTTCTACAAAATAGATATCAACGGCAAAGGCTTTATACACGTATTGCACTCGGCAAGGTGTAATTGAAAAATAAAAAATAAAAAAAATTCCTTTCACCAACGAATTTCTGCGCATGCTTCATTTTTGCCTTTATTATCTTCAGCTCTTTCTGCAGTCTAATTTGCATGTGTGTCTGCACTTGGTTGTGTGCTCTTTGTGAAACCTTGTCATCCTGCATGGTTTGCAGAACTTCAATGAGTTCTTTTGCTTCTGCTGGTTGCAATAACCATGTTTTTGTCTTCTAGCCGATCTGTGTTAGTTTTTTATGGCCCACCAAAATACAGATAGAACTTTTTTTGGTGGGCATATAATGTTTATTGCAATTGTTCTCCTCTGCAGGTCTGGGATGACTCTTACCATTTGATCTTGTTGTTAATTGCAGGCTAGGAGAATGGATGTTGTTTGGGGAGAAACTGCTGGAGTTGACGGTCAACTATGGTTGTTGGCACCCATTCTATTCATATTACAGGTGATTTGTGCTGTACAAATGCCTGTTTTGGGGACCATGCCCACAAAAGATCATATTAATGTATGCTTTGTCATCCAAGTCATGTTGAATCAAACAAACACTAAAGCGATTTAAATTAAGGTTTTTAAATATTCATTTTTTTCCTACATGACTTGCCAAAAGGTATGTACATATATAAATAATTAAATATATATAACAGCTAGGGAAGGGAAGTTTTTGTTACCATCAATCATCATCATATTCCTTGAGTGTTTTCTTTCATAACTTGCTGAAGTTGAAGTCATATTATCATTCTCTTCTAGTTTGCCATCCAACAATCCTAGTTTTATACATGTAATGCAACTTTCCGTTTCATCACAACTTTCTCTTTCATCACAGCTTTCTCTTTTTGTTTTGAACTTCTTTGGCTCACATGTCATGATGTCACCATGAAGTTATTTGATTCTTTTTTCGTTTTTCTCTTTGAAGATATTAGGAAGAGGCGTGCTTACCAAAAAAAGGAAAGAATCTGTACATCATTGCATGATGATCATCAATTGCCCAATCCTAAAGTGAAAAAAATAATGAAAGAAGAAGTACTTCAAAAGAAATTTACTTAGAGCATGCCTACAGTATTTGTGATGGACTTTTTTGCTTCTCAGGGCCTTGCATTTGCTTAATAGTTCTATTACATATTTTCTTCAGTAATAGGTCTCGCAAATTAATTGTTCACTTTCATTTGTTAGTTGCTACTAATCCAATAGATGAAGCAACAATGTCACCATAGAGATCTGAGCTAAATTGAAGTGACCTTTATTTGTATGTACTTGATTTCAGGGTTTTGAATTATATGTCGGAATTTTGCTACTTAAAACTGCACTGGCTGGTGTTGTTTCTGAGTGGCAGGTAAGAACTATGTTTTGAGTATTGTTATGTGGATGCTTGGAGAAGTATTGCCATGGGTTTTATATTTGTGATTTACTTTGCTTTTAAGATTAAATTCTTAATTCTATTTCAGTATTTGCTTGAGTAATTTAACATCTTAGTTGGACTCATACTCAAGGTTGTTAAAATCGGGATCCTAGGTAGAATCGTAAGGTGAAAAATCACAAAATCAACGATCCTACTTACGATCCTACCTCTGATCTTATATGATTCTACACAATCCCATATGATCCTGTTATAACACCCATCCTCCAACTATATGGATCTTTTTAGCAATATAGGATCGTATCCTACAATCCGGATTGCGATTTTAATAACCATACTCATACTCGTATAAAACTTAATGGATTATCTAATTTACTTTTGGTCAGGTTGTTACCTGTGGGGTGCTACTGATTGTTATGGCAGTTGGGAATTTTGCAAACACAGTGCAGACACTAGTGGCAAAATCTCGGTTTAAAGCGAAAATGAAGAAAACTAAAAGTAAGCCAGAACTAAATTAGGGATCCCATCCCATTCCTTATAATTTGTGACCGGGAAGACTGTTGTGCTAGTTGAGTTCGAGGATATGAGAATTTCTTTCGTAACCTGTTATTCCTTGTAACAACCTTTTCACCTTTATACGCTTAGACTAGCGATGCTGTTTGTGAGAGTGACCTTTACTTGCATCAAATAGAGCTATATTTTGGTTGTTACAGTTGTACTAATAGTCAATCATACCTATTATTTTGTGTAATTTGTCTTTTTGTGAATTAAGTAGACACATTGTACCGTTACCCCTCCAATGCTTTTTTATGTGTCTTCTGTCATTTTGAATCTGGTTGTTTTGTTTTATTTATGGGCTAATTACACAGACTTCCCTGTGGTTTCTAAGATGAAATTACACTATTCTCTCTTAGCCACGGAAATGTCTTGTTTACATCTGGCAACTAGATGCCAAATTTACCTTTTATTTCTTAAATACTGAACACCCAACTAAATCTATCCGGCCGAGGCCCTTGTGGCCGAGTGGCATGTAGCCGCGCTTTAGGGTCACCACGGTGAGTGGATAGTTTGAGGTTCGGGTTGATGAATCAACGGCGGTTCCTTAAATTTATAATGTAATTTTACTAACGTACTAACATTCTATCTTTGACCAAAAAAAAAAAAAAAACTGAATCTATCCTTGCAACCAAACAAGTCACGTGAATATTAGCATCACAAGCAAACACCCCCTTATCTTCGACTATTTTCTTCCATCTTCCTCCCCGTTCCTTCTCCGTCGTGCCACATTTCACAGTGGGAACAAAACCTTGAGTAGGGAGGAGATGGTGACTACTCTCTCTCTTATTGTCTCTTTTGAAAATCTCTCTTTCCTTCTCTCCAACAACACATGCTAAATCCATCACAACCATCGTAAACTTCCTTGGGCTATGACAACTGGTTTTCTAGTGCACTTGTGCTGTTGGTCGGTTGCTGGTTGGTCTTCTGTTGGAATGCTTGTTGCTGATAATGGTTATTGATGCAGTTTGGTCCTTGTTTGGAGCTCTGCTGATTATTAAGCTTTGTTGGTGGGTCTTTGTTTTGGACTTTTGTTTCTAATTTTGTCTGCTGTCTATATGTAATGACGTCTAAATCTTGTAACTCATATGTATGATTCTTTTATATCTAAAGAAGTTCTCATTCTAACCAAAAAAAGAAACGGAAAAGAAAAGAAAGACCCTAGTACCAGCAAAGTCAAAACAACACCTTCAACTCTACCGGCCTACCACACAGCATCTTTTTGAATTATACAAAAGTTGTCCAATTGAAATATGAAGCAACCTTTGATTTCCTTTGCAACTCACCCACATCAACTTTTCATTAAAAAACATTAACCTGTCAGGATTTTCTACCATTTTTATATGACAAGAAATGATATGGTTATAGGCAGAGATTTGGTTGAAGCAAATCATCAAATGCTTAGTGTACAGGACAAACAACTAGATTTTGATGTTTTAGTTATAAAATAATAATAATAATAAAAAAATAAATAAATAAATAAACAAATATATAAAACTAGATTTTGATGTGGACTATGACTCATGAATGTCTTATGGAAATGCTGGTGTTGGGTTTGAACACAAGTTTCATAGTGTGGGAGTGGACGAGAAAAATAGTCATCAATATATCATTTTTCATCTTTTCATTTGATCTAATGATATGTCACTTTCTATATGCCTAATTGCAATCTACATCCTTTCATCAATTAAGCTTATTGTAGTTGTAATGAAATATATATGTTTATTTAGAACATCTTCAACAAGCTATTTAAAATAGATCTGTTGGTTATTGTAGGTAGCATTACTCTATTTTACTTCCTCTAACAGTATAACTAGCTATTTTAACATTGCTTCTCCAAGCTAGCTAGCTATTTTTAAAGAGTACTTGGAAGACTCTTTAAAAAGCTTGTTTGAATAAGTAAAATAAAGATTTGGATCCACTCCTAAGATGCTCTCACAACATTATGAGTAGCTTAAGCTCGGGTTTGATCAATGGGGTTAGCCTGGATAGGCATTGATGCTCAATCGCCAATGTCTTGTGAACATATAATAATTAAGTTCCTGTCACAAGCTACTCAACTCGGCATATTACTCAACAAGATGTCAATCCAAGTCCCAAATCTTTTTTCTTAATTTTCTGAACAATCAATCAATCAATCTTGTTGACGGGAATAAGTACCCAGGCTTCGAAATCTTCTTCCAAACCAAGTTTTCTGACAGTGACATTGATGGATTTTCCTTCCTACTTGTGATTTGGCCATAGGCGGATTCTACCTCTCTTTATGGCATAACCATTGTTTCAGGTACATTAGGCAATTTGCTCCAACTTATTGTGAATTTGGTCTCGAAATTAGAGATTAATGAGTTGAAATGATGAAACCAATCACTTTCAGGCTAGAGTAGGAATTTCAGTGTCAGTAAGGGGAAAAAAAAAAAAAGATTGGTTACAAAGCTTAACCTTCCTGTTGAAAAAGCTCCATTCTTCTTGTGGATGGACTGTAAAATGTCAGCAACATCGACGGAATATAGATGGGAGACTGCTGCTTTGACCCAGAAAGTGTAAAATTTCTCTGCATTTAGTACTGCTGCATTGGTCGAAGCAAGTTTCAGACAAGAACTCTGCTTTCAAAACCCGCGAAGATTAATAAGATCCCCATCCTGGCTGCTTTGTCGTTGTCTCGGGAAGGGTGAGAAGTAGATCAGAATCGAACCAACCAAGTTTCTCCAGGAGCATTTTGATCAGGTCAGCTGCTGCATAGGAAACACCAGAGGCCATGAACCCCATGATAACATAGTACACTACTGTTTTTATATAAGCCTTTGGTGGTCTCTGAATGTAAGCTTTCCCAATAGCGAGTAGAATGATGCACAGAAGAGAAGCTACAGCGACTGCGATAAGTTTGAAATCCGAGTTGTTGCTCTTACGAAATGTAAAGGCATATATGACAGGTGGCAGTGAACCAACTATGAGGAATGATAACAGGGTGACAGGCGCGTGAAGCCAGAAATTCTCTCTCCGGCCTAGTAGTTCTTGGTACCGGTCTTCTTGTTGTTGAGTTACTTGATCAGATTCACCCTCAGTTGCTTGATTGGATGTTACCCCAGAATTTTCATTTTTCAGCTCCCACAGCTGTAAGGTTTTACACATAATATGCAAATCGGGTAGGAAAAAACCCAAAGATTTGTTTAGGATGATGCGATTATGTATAACATGGATGATGCTTTGATGCCAAACAGTGATATTGTGTGCTTAAGCGAAGCCAATATCTAACTGACATCATATCTATTATATTCATATTCAGCAACACTTTTTTTTTTAGCATAAAAAATGAATAACAAAGACACTTTTTTATTCGAAAAGTGTAACTATTTATATTTTTGGAATTAATTCTATACATTGATTGCAACATTGGCAAAGCTATGACTTTAGATTTCCTGATGGAAAATAAGTGGACCCTTTTCTTTTCTTTCATTTAATGTTTTTTTTCATTCATGGATGATTAAGAGGAATTGTGGACAAGGAGAGGACTCACTTGATGACCAATGAGGAAAAATCCTCCAATCAGATTAGCCAATGCCAGAGCCAAAATATTCACTGCAATAACAGAAAAAAAGATTAATTACCAATATATATACAATTTTGGAAGAGCCAAAGAAAAAAAAAATTCACAAAAAAATGTACAAGCGCAAGAAAAAAGGAAAATTTGTAAACAGATTCAGCTAATAGTCAAAAAACAAATAAGGAAAATTTGTAAACAGTGAGAGGAAGATGATGAGGTGACACGTGTGTGATATTTCATTGTGTAGGTGGACCAATCAAAGGAGAGATCATGCAAAGAGCCATGAACTTGACTTCATAATAGAATTGCTCAAATATGAACCTGAAAAAATCAAAATGTAAATACTTCACATACCCATTTATCTTATTCTTGTTCTTCTTCTTCTTCTTCTTTTTTATTTTTTTAATAGAAAAATCTAAAACACTTACATGTGGTAGCATCAGCACCAGCTGCAGATGAAACAACACCTAGGCTCGTAATTGATTCAATCAAACCACCATATAAAATGCTTTTCATTATTTCCAATCCTGGAAATCTTCTAGCTTTAGCAATCTCAGTAGGTGCTGAAACTTCTGTTTCTGCTGAAGTAATAATATCTTGTGCTTCCTGAGGAGGAGCTGCTGGCTCAACTGGCTCTTCTTTTACAATAATGATTGTATCGCTGCCTGCTGCATATTTTCCCAAGAAAACAATTTGACGTGCAAGATTTATTGTATGAAATAGTATGCGTGAGATAAACTCATATGATGGGGAAAAAAAAATACTCAACAATGGAGGTGGAATGAAAAGGAGGCTTTCCCCTTCATCCACCAAATTAGACAAAATGGTTGTTTCATGTATATTCAACTAAATTCAATCGCCATAATCATAAATGGAAAATGGAAATGAGCCCCTCCTGGAGCATTGTTTACCATCAGGATTTGGTAAAAATGTGTTTTGGAAATTAGTAAACCAAACCAAACTAAGCCTTGTGTTCCAATAAAGTAGGATTGGCTACCTGAATCCATTTTCGCCATTCCGCTTCATCAACAACTATATGACTAGTTAAATTATGTTTTGGAAAGAGGTGAAAAGGTTAAAAAGAGTTTTGAAATATGTGAAAAAGTGTCTCGTGTCACACCCCCCCCCCCCCCCAGTTCTTACCTGCTATGCTTTTTTCTGGCATATCCTTTGAATCGTTAGTAATGCTGACTTGTCTGTCTTGAATCAATAAATCATCCTGTACGGATAGACTAACGACATCTGTATCAGCTTTCAAGGGCTCCTCTATTGAAATGTCCACTTTGGTGCCAATGTCGGCATGCTGAGCAACTCCAGAGGAATAGTCTGCATCTGGAAATGTAAAGCACTGTTATCTTCACAAGCAAAACCATAAATGAATTTTGTCATGAAGATATCAAACTCATTTGAAGTTTGCATAATGTTTGCACATAGGAAAGCCACATTCACCCTTCTATCAAAACATAATCCACAAGACATAAATAGACAATGCAATTACATCACATGTTCAACCAAGTCCAAAAGTTTCTGATTTCAAGACACGTGGCAAAGCACCAAAGAAGCTTAAACAAGTGGTTTACTTTAAAAGAACATTAAATCATAATAGCCTCAATGCAGTTGCTGTAAACAAGTTACGTTCAAAGTACAAATTATTAAATGAACAATACCTTGTTGTACAGAAGTTATGTTCAGAGGGGTTAATGCATGAGATAACACGGCAACAGATAAGTGAGCCCTAAAGAAGAGTCAACCCACTTAAGTTTCTACAATATTCTAGCAGGTCATTCCTCAAATAATTGATACCAACATAATTTCAGTAACACCATTCACCAAAGTACCTCCAATATCTTTCAATCAACCCAAGAAAGTAAGGAAAGCAAATATGAAAATTTACTTTTGCAAAGCTCTAAAGGTGGCACATGGTATCACTAGTTTAAATATGCAAGTGAAGCACTGACAAGAGGAGTGCACATGAAAGTACTGTGTTGAACAACAGTGCACAAATTTCAGTTACATGCCATTACCACTTAATTTAGCTTCCACAGTTTTATCTTCGACTACAGATAGAGTGGAAAGATCAGCCCTCTTTGGTGGAACTACTGTTTCCAATTTGTTACGTTTTAACACTGTCTCATTGATATCCGACTTCCCAAGTACTGAAACTGGTTGTGGCGATAGCAAGGTTAAGTCTTTATCATCTGCACATGTTCCATTCAATATGCAATAAAAACTCAAATGGAAAATAAAGCCATCACTTCAAGGAAAAAAACCAACTAATTCAAAAGACATATGCACCTCCTTTAGTACATACGAAAGGAGAAATATTCTTTGCTTCTCAAATGTTCAAAGACAAGAATATGACTACTACTTCAAAAGGCACAGAATACAGATTAAGCTAAAGTTGAAATAGTAAAACTGAGTTATATGTGGTTATTCTCAAACATGGATTTCATACTGTAGTCTGTGCATCATCGTCATCTTTAAGAGTCAAAAACCTATACCTGAAGTTATACTTTCTATTGCCACAGGTTCTTCAGTGTGCACAGGAGCTCTCCCAGAAATTTGTGTTGCTCGACGGTCAATTTCTTCATTTGAAACCATTTCATTCGAAAAGCTTGATGAATCTGACTGATTAACAGTAACTAATTCAGGATGATCCAGTGCAGCCCCCTCTGTATCAGATGTCAAGCAAAACATCCACCAGTCAGCATAAACTGTTGGATACTTCACTGAGGTTACAATTGAAACAACCATTATCATCAAATACTATCAAGAAAGAACCAATCAACTATGGGAAATTACTACTGAGACAGGTAAGCATTCAGCAAGAAAAGAACGAACAGGATACTTTTCTTCTTCTTCTTCTTCTTAATTTTTTTTTTTTTTCAGTTTCATGAAGTTTCATTTCTAGAGGATATACCCAATAAAGGCTATACATGCAAGCATGCATTGAAGATGAGGATTGTCCATTATTTATGTCCTGACATCTCTACACGGAAAAAGAAAAAAAAATAAAATTATATGATATGTATATAGCCATCACTTGAAAACAATGGGACTTCAAAGCAGCATCAATCAATTAAATATTGCTAGTTGCAGTAGCATGTGCAGACAGTATAAAGTCCATAAACTTCAGATGAGATGAGTTTGCAATGGGAAATGCTTTGCAAAAATGCAAAGAACCTTTCACTTCATAAAGTGGTTTGTTCATTCTTTACAAGCAAAAACTGAATATCTTTCCCATACCTCTGCTCTTTCTGGTTACATCATCTAATTTGTCCCCTACATCGGCTATAACTTCCCCAATCAGTTTGGGGCTTTGTGTTGAAGAAGGCACAATATCATCTCCAACTTCCTGAGGTTCAGCAATACTACTCTTTACAAGTCCTTGAGCACCAACAGATTCAGGAGGTGATGTATCCTCTCGTTTTACTGCTCCGACAATATTTTCTTCCACACCTGCCACACGATCACTTTCTGCATTGGCAAAAGGAAGAGGTAGGCCAGTTTGATTATGGGACATTAAATAAAATAAATAAAGAAATAAATACAAATCTAGCGCATCACTAGAAAGCAGTTGAAAGTCACTTCTAACAAGATCAAGTGAAAAATATTTCAAGCTCGAACAAGTTAAACAATTAATTGCAGATGATGCCGTACCTTGGTCAATCAACATGTCGTCCTTACGTGATGCAAAAATAGAGGAAAACCAACTTTTTTTCGTTGCTGATATTTGTTGAGAACTTTGTTTGTTGTCCTCCTCATTTTTATCTCCAAATATCTTGGACAGCTTAAAACCATCACCTGTGAAATTTAATTATATGTAAGTCTTCTGTCTGCAGCAACAACCTCAATATTATAGCTCAGCCAAGAAATGAAAAACTAGGAAAGCAATACCATGCAATGTGATACATGCAATGATGCAAATCTAATAGGATAATGATTTCAAACTCAACAACACTATCCCAAATACCACAAAAAAATAACAGATTTCATCACCAACCTGACGAGGAATAGGCATCAAAATAATGATCTTAAACTACAACCGTAATGCAAACAATATATCAGAAATAAAATAAGCTTTCTGATATGCTGGAGTAGATTTTTATACCTGTAGGAATGAAACAGCTGAGACATGATAAGCATCTGAATATCTCTGGCTCTCTGACACGATTATATTCATCAGCTGCAGGTGTCAGACCTTGATCATTGGTTGCATCGGACGGAATAGCATCAACTATCTCAGGTGGAACTACTGTTTCCAATTTGTTACGTTTTAAATCTTCATCAGAAATTCGAATTTTGCGTTTTCTTTTACGAAGTATAACTCTTCTGGTAATGCAGGAATTGCAATTAGGACAGTATAAATCATGTGTATCTTGCTTCTCTAATATTCTCTCAACATCTAATTCTGTGAATTCCTGATCACTGTCCTTTATTTGTTCAATATCATCATGTGCTACTGTTACATCACTAAAAAAATTATTTGTTTTATGTTCTTTAAATGACTTTTCAGAAGGCAGAGGTCTGAAACCAGAGAAGCTGTCATCAACTAATCTATCATCTCTGGGATTTTTCTCAGAAGCAGAAGCTTTAATGCCACTTTTTTCTGTTACAAAAAATCCCAAAAAGGATTCAGTACCTGCAATCATGTAGCGAAAAAGTTCATTCCCAAACTCTTGTTTTAAAAATGTTTATGCACAAAGCTATAGGTATAAAACTATAAAATGAACAACAATTGAGACAAATATTTGCATTGCAAAAGCTACAGGAAAAATAGTGATGTCCATCTGAAGAGTTCTTGTTCTCAAAATGCACTTGCACAGTCACAAACAAATGTTGGTTAAGATATGTATTAATTAGCAACAACAAAAGGAAAACAAATAATATACATGCCAAGATTTTAGGAACCCATACTTCAACCCTCCCAAAAAGAATCTTGTAGCTCCACCCTGAGGTAACACGACTATTGAAGCAGCCAAACAGCTCTACGATCTATGTTTTCCTTCTTTTTTTTTTGGAATATGTCAAACTGCTCTAGAATCAAGGTTGTCCAAAACTAATAAGGAAATCCATGTTTTTTGGGTGGGTAGGAAAATCCATGTTAATTGGCAGAAAACTGCAATTTGACTAATTGAAATTGATACTTTGTTTCCTAGGAACGCGGTATCTACTGACCTTTTCTTCACCCAAAAAAAAACATCTCCTAACCTTCGGTTTCACAAAAGAAACATTGTCCCTGTTATTTTACAGTTTTGACATTCATCATCAGCACATACATGACCATTGGTTTCACAACAGAAACGTTATCCCTGTTGATTTACAGTTTTGACATTCATCATTCACATATGCAAGTGCCACTTAGGATTCTAAGTATGATCAATCGAAGGATTTTCACTTCAGTAGGCCCAACAGCAGTTTCAACAATTCAAAATTGCTTCACAAACAGCAAGAAAGAGAGTAAGAAATTGCAGTTTCACCAAATTTGTCAGTGTTTAAGGAATGAATTGAGTAATACACTCATTGTGGTCTCACAAGCAAGGGTGCAAGAAATATGAGAACTGGTTTATGTTCTACAAATAGGTAAAAACTAGATCAAAACATGAGCATGAAATTTAATAATTTCTAGCACAGGAGCATTATTTACATTTCCAATTCATTCAGTGAAAAAAAAAAAAGTCCGTTGCAGGTTCACTGATTACAAAAATTGTCCCATACTAAATGAAAGAATTGAATTTAGGTGAAGTGCTTTCACAGCTAGACATTATATATCAACCTTGGTTTACGTTTAATATATAAGTAAAGCAGTAAATTTACATGAAAGAATCAGGTTAAGAGCACGGGATTTGGAAATTTTTTAGCACAAAGGGAAACAATAGCATTGATCTATCTAGAAAATGGGCCTAACCCATAAGTGATAATTTAGTTGAGAAAGAAAGAATGGGTGAATCAAGTGACAACAGTGACAGTATGGCATAACTAGATGTTGATGTTCATAAAGACCTAGGCCACATTCAACAATTGAGGGACATGGAATACTTTTTCTAAACATGTGCATACAGAATGGAAAATGTATCCCTAACAATTTCAGCATTTTTGGGAGAAAGGTAACAAAAAAGTTTTTAAAAAAAAGGAAAAAAAATAGCAAACATATAGAAGATTATCTAATGCAATTTGAAAAGCAATTCAATTCTCTATAAAATCCACCCAGGGCATCAGTCGTTTAAACAAACCATGAGGCGGAATATAAATATATTAATGATTATAACCATGTTTCAAAATTTTGGGGGAGGAATCAGCGGACCTTTGAAAGAGTAAAGCTGCCTATTTATTTATCAAAGAGTAGAATTTTGGGTTTAGAATTTAGTTGGTGACAAGGATTGCCTCCCTCTGGAGTCCTTCATAAATTCCCATAGATTAGATTCTTTTGCTCTTGTATAGGGCTATAGTTTTCTTTTCTATACACTGCATTTGCATGATGCTGTATTGAACTCTCTTGAGAAGACACATTTGTGTAAAGCACAACATTATGAGCAAATTGATGAGCAAGGAAGTGATAGCTTAGAACTTTTTAAGGGGGAAGGAAAATTTAAACCCTCAAACTAGCCAAAAAGTTAATCATATCAAAGGACAATTCTGAATACCAATCTTCTAATTCTTTAGAAGAGTATATTCTAATTCTTTCAAGCAATCATGGAATCAAAGTATCATGTGTAGCCACAGATTGCACCAATTAGACCTCTGTGTGACTAAATTTTATCTAATTCCGTCGTTAATTTGAGCAAAATCAGTCATAAGAGTTTGGTTCATTCTAGAACCCTGACTTAATTACACTCTGCAATGATTTTGCACTACACATCAATAACAACATTGTTTATTGTACTCTAAATAACATTTTTCTTGTTCCGAATGCTAGGACTGTGTGGCTAATTTCTACTTTGATACATACTTGATCAGTGTAATCAAGTTTTTTGTGCTTCAGTTCAGTGCATGCCACTTACTATTGCCTTCTTTGTCACCTCCCTGGTCCATATTTTTTTTTGCTGAGCTGGTGAATAGCACTCATCATAGCTCTTTAGTGCTACTTCCATAGAACACGTGATACACTAAATTAGGGTCAGAGAAACATGAAATACAAAAATAAAACAAAGATCTAAATGAAGTACACATAAAAATATAAGGATTTTCGTAGTTCACCCCACAATCGGCTATGTTCACGGTTGCTACAGTTTTAATATGATCTGAAAGAGTTACAATACAATACAATACATAGAGATTCAACACTTCACCAATAAATATATGGTATTAGGATAGCCAATTAGAACTATGAAATACCCAAAAAAACCCTTACTCCAAAGTTTGGGTGGTTAGTGTTCCATACTTATTAAAAGGTTTGGATTATATCTCTAGTTGGCCATCCAACTCAAAGAGCAGTTGGGTTTGGAGGGCCTGTTTTGGAGTCAATGTCGGTGATTTGAACTGTTTACATTTTAGAACTCATTTAGTAGAATATTCATATAAAAAATCAAAGATGATCGGACATCAATAGTTATATGTTTAAATCATATTTGCCTTAAAAAAATAGACGAAAAATATAATTTCTAAAATAACCATCTATTTTTTATAATACAAATATGATTCAAACATATAGATATAATATCTGATCATCTTAATTTTTTGCTTGAAACTCAACAAATATTAAAAAGTGATTAGTTCAGATTACTGAAGTCAGCCTGCCTCAAAATAAGCCCACCAAATCCAAACTATTCTCTCAAATTGAATAGTCAAATTGATAGAATCCAAACCCCCTTATTAAAATCTACACTACCCAATAATTCCATTGGAATAATATAGAATTTCTGCACCAAAAAAATGTAACCCCGGGAAAAATCGTTAGCCGGAGAGTACATAGAATGCTCTGATATATCAACATAACCAATGTAAAAGTAACACCAGCAATCAATTTCTCCCATCTCTCCCCTCACCATGAATATACTGCTCGAGCAGGCTTTACACAGACAAACACCCAAACATACTGTAGGAAGATGTTACCTCAAATAGATACGAATGAAAATGGACTGAGGGCTCCCCCATTGCAAATCCCTTATGAATTCGTTCTTTACAGATTGTTATCTTTCATTCCATATATTTGTACATACATACATACATACATACATACATACACATGATACACTATTGAGAAAAAGAGAGGGATTTTGGGATGAGGAGGAGGAAGGGGAAGGGCCCCCATCCTTTTTTTTTGGTTTTTTTTTTTCCTGGTACTGTTAACAAAGAAAGTTGAGAGGCTGTGGGGTTTGAGGGCGTTATTGTAATTTCAAAACATCTTTATCGTTCGTGCCATGTTACTGATGTTGTTGTTGTTTCCTAAAACTCTCTCCGTGAAAGAGAAGACCAGAAAGAATAAGAAGAAGAGACGATGACAAAGAAGAGTGAGTAGCAAAGAATCGATATATATATGTATCGAGTACGTGTACGTGTATGTACCTTGGACTTTGTCGGAATAAACGCTCTTCTTCGACCTTTCTGGCGAGTCTAGTACTAGTTCCACTACATGATTGGTGTCTTGTTCTTGAAATTCACCGCCATCGGCATTGGCAGGCTCTGAGGAAGGCAACATTAAATCAATTTTACTAGCATCACTGACTTCAATGGCTGTGGTTGTGGTGAGACGCCGAGGCCGCCTTCCCTGCAAGGCCACTGCGTCCACCTTCTCCTCCTCCTCCTCCCATTGTTGGCCTTGCAAGGCCAATGCAGCCACCTCATCCTCCTCTACTGCGGTCACATACTTCTCCCATTGTTGGCCTAGTAAGGCCACCGTGGCCCCCTCCTCCTCTTCCTCTTCCTCTTCCTCTTCCTCTGTCTCTTCAACTTCCTCCTCTTGCTGCCACTGCTCTGTTTTTTCCATTTCTTAAGAAGCTGAGTAAATTGGATGCTCACACTCCACTTCCCTACTTTTTATTTTCTACAAATGGATACAAGACTCACAGTTTTTTACATATATATCTTCACTCTGTTTTTTCACTCGAATTTTCCTCAATTGTTTTACTCTTCATTTTCTTTTTGTTTTTTCTCCGTCTGTTTAGTGGTTTAGAAAGTAGACCACACGAAGAAGATAAAATTTGAACGTTTTGCTGGATCTCATATGTAGAAATTGCAAGCACATGTGTAACACGAGAGCAATTTGGTTTGGAGGGAAGAAGGTCATTGACTATGTTATTACTCGTGTTGACATTGAGCTGCAGCTTCTTCTTTCTACGTCATAAATATGATCAACAAGAAATTTTTAGGTCCAAACTGAGGAAAATTATTGTTTGCTCCTGAGGTAAGTTGACGTGGTATTTTAACTTGTGTTTGGTTTTGGTTTTTTTTGCTAAAAAAAAATACAAAAGGTAAAATTGACTAAATAAGGCAATAAGATAATATATCATATTTAAATCATAATCATTATATTTTTTTTTTCACAAAAATTAAAAACACCAAAAACAAAAATCAAACGAAATTAAAAAAGTCAGATTAAAATAGTCAAAAAATTAAAAAGTGAGACTATTTTCGTTCTTTCCAAACGAAGACTTAATTGTTATTAATTGAATTAGTCGGACTCATCATATTTTTATCTTTTTTTAAGTTAGGTTTGGTTGAGAGATTTGGAAAGAAAAATAAAAATGGTAGGTGAAATGTGAATAAAATATATTTATATTTCACTTAATTCAGCACATATTTTTTCTTTTTTTTTTTAAAAAATCTCTTCCTAAATTCTCTAATCGAATATAGCATTAAGAGATAATGAGATACTTATCTTTCAATAAATGATATAGAGTGCCTAACATTAACTAATAACTTCTCCCAAATTTACATGCCACGTGTTACCTCTTTTTGATTAAAAATTATTGCTCATGCGGTATTGTTTTGTATTGTGCTCACAAATTAACAATCGTAAGTAGGGTATTCGCAATTTTGGATTGTTCGGTTTGTAATTTGTATTTGTTCATATATGTACGGTTTAGAAAAAATTGAACTTGTAACGACTCGTACCGTGGGTTACGATTTGTTCGGATAGGATTCACGGATGTGCGGACAGTTTGTAAATTGGGCTTTTTCTTTAAAAATATATTTTTTTGCTTTTTTTTCTCCCCGTTTTGTAAATATTTATTTTGGACTATTTCTTCTCATTTTTTAAAATACTCAACATTAATAATTAATTAATTAAAACTTATAAAATTAAAATCACAACAAAATCAATTTCTATCGCAAGTAAATCATTCAAAATGTTAACTTTTAAATAAAATCATAAACTGACACAAGTATATTTTTTAAAATCCTAAACTAAATCGTCAAAATTATTCACTACCCAACAATACAATTAAAGTAAAATCATTCAAAATCTTAAACTTAGCTAAAAGTAATTTAACTTTTACATTCATCCAAAATACAATAATAAATTGTTGTCAAACCTCATCCGATTCAAACTCATTAAATAAAATAAAAATATTTGCAAACTCGCAAACTCCATCATAAAAAATATTTAAAAAAAATGTTTAAGTGCGGGTGGGTTCTTAAGGGTGCGGGTAAAACCCGCAGTCTGCCAGCAACCGCAATAATGCCATATTCTAAATCGCATTCGTCCGTATTTTATCTACGAAACTATCCATTTGTATACAAATCGGTTCGAGTTGGACAGGTTGGGCGGTTCGAATAATCTTATTCCCAACCTTAATCACAAGTTATCTTCTAATTATTTAACGAGACTAAATAATCATGTAAAAGAAAAGAATAATTTTATTTGTACTAATTAATGTACTAACTAATATATTAACAGATAATGTAGTATAATTTTAAAAATTTTGAATATTTATAATTTGTATAATATGTCAGATCAATAATAATGATATAACACTAATTAATATATTAATATATATATATTAATTAGGGCAAATTACAAACACCCTCTCGAGGTTTCGTGAAAATACAGAATCCTCCTTGAGATTTGAGAAATTACATCCCGTACCTTGAGGTTTATATTTCCATAACAAATTGTCCCCTAAGGTTTGTATTTTCATACAGATTCCCCCTAATTTCTCCTAATTTGTTATGAAAATTATACAGAATCCTCCTAATTTGTATTTTCAAGAGACAATATATAATTTTTCAAACCTCAAAAAAAAATTTATATTTTTATCAAACCCAAACCCCGAGAGAAATGCTTGTAATTTGCCCTATTAATTACTACATACATTACCACCGAAAAAGAAAGGAGCCATGGCTTCATCACCTCTCGAAAATCCTACTTTTACATAGAAATTGGAGCTGGGATGTTTCCAATCCACGACGCTATTTGGGCCGTGAGAACTACGAAATTTCGTTTTGATCATTAGAGTTTTTTATTTTTTTATAGCATTTTATGTAAGTTATTTACGCAAAAAAAGATCAATACCATATATGTAATTATATAATTTTAATTAGCACATTTATTTTCAAAAAAATAAATAACAAGAATGATTTTAAAAATAGACAATACATTTTTTTAGAGATAAATGTAATAAGATTATATAGTTATCATACTGGATCGACCTAATTTTTTGTGTAAATAATTTATCCAAAGTATCCTAAAATATAAACGACTCAATTGATTGAAATTACACCGTGGTGAGTCTCACAGAACCTAATAACGCTATTTAGTCCAATTAATTGGAGACAATCTGTCTCCTAAAAAGTAATGTCATTTCTAATAATTACTACAATGAAATTTGGAAATGACAGAGTTTAATTATTTTGTGAAATTGGCACTTGGAATTCATGTTGAAATTGTGATTTAACCTATGAGATTATCATTTTATGTATGTTGCTAATAAATGCTGGAATGAAGAACTGAATTATCAATTAATTGTGTCTATGTTAAATTGGAGCAAAGAATTTTATAAGTTCATTTCCGCTAATATGTTTAGCTACCCTAAGTATGAAATTTTGGCTCCATCCTTGATCATGCCCACTTTGAAACTGTGAACAAACACTGAATTTAATGGTTCTACAATAGTAGATCTAATCCATCTAAAATTATGGATTCATTACTTTAGATTAATAAAATAAAATAAAAAATTATTATGATTCAAAATATTGGCCGCTATATTAAAAAAAGTACATTAATCCATTCATAATTATAAATCTCACTATTTCCGTGATGCTTAAAAGATAATAAAAGATCATTTGTATTTATGATTAGTGAATCAGCACAAGGAAATTAGGTCTGGGCAAACATCCAACCAATTCTACTCAACATGACTTCAAATTGACGATTTTGATACAAGGGGCAAATGGATGCAAGTCTGGAGATTTTTAAAAAAAAAACGAGTTTTGGTTGGGTGAAGTTTACAAGATTTGTGAAACTGGACCCAACGACATGAAATTAGTAATTCTTCTTAAATATTAATATATGTAAATTTATTATGGGTGATTAATCAATAAATCTTATATTTTGAACTTGTAATCCATATAATTTCATATTTTTTCTTGTGATCTATTTAGTCCTTTTAGATGTGTAATGATTAATTTACTCGCCATATTGTAATATTTACATTTAGGAAGTTACATTAAAGTGTTACGTTTGAAAAAAATACACAAAGGAATTTTTTAGTGTTGGAGTTTTTGGAGCGTTATGTCGGAGTGTTGGACTGTTACGTTTGCTAAAAGTGCACTAAAGAGTTTTTTAGTATTGAAATATTACATTTGAAAAAAGTATATCAAAGAGTTTTTTTAGTGTGCTACATCAGAGTGTTATGTTTGGAAAAAATATACTAATGAGTTTTTTTGTGTATTACGCCGGAGTGTTACATTTGAAAAAAGTACATTAAGGATTTTTTTTTTTTTTTTTAGTGTTACGTTGAAGTGATAGAAAACGTGATTCAAAAATTGAATCTAACTTCCCTAAGATGGTGTCCCTCAATGGAGAAGGGTACAAACGTCTATTAAATCATATCAAAATTTAAAATAGGATCTAACGACAAGGTTGTCAAAACAAACAGGACCTATCATTGTATTAGAAAATTCATGGAATTGATTGGAGTAACTAATTCCCATATGGAATTTTCTGATAATTTTTCATATAAGAGTGATTGGAGTAACTGATTTCCACGTGAGACTTTTTGATAACTTATATATTATATTATTTATTAATTCAATAAATAAATTATTAAAATTTGAAAGGGATGCTTTTTCCTTTTCAGAAAAGTAAAAATCTTAAATTTCATTGTGCAATTAAAAAAAATTATGATTTTTTTTTTTTGTAAAATAGGATTTGTTCTGTAAAAATAAATTTTTATTTTTATTTTTTTTGTAAATTAAGATTCATTCAATTTGTTAACCCGATTCGCATTTATTTGTTAATTTGCCCAATTCACTGATTAATTTTAAAAATCAGAAATGCTCGAATGTGAATAAATTTTTTTCAACCAAATCTCATTTAACCGGCTGACATACGATATCTGATTCACCTAAGCGCAATTCGTGAACCCCCCGAGTGGGACATGGTACCTCCCACCACGCATTGATTAGGGTGGCTCTAGCCTGGGGCTACACCAATAAATAACAGACAGAAGTAAATGTGGTCTTGGTAACTTTATTTTTTTAGTTTAAAAATTAAAAAATTATTAAAGAAAAAAAAAACTAACAAATTATATAAAAAAAATTCAAAATTTTCAATTTTTTTTTTTACTTTTTACATATTTTTTATTGTAAAAAGTTTAAAAGTCATCTCAAATATATTATTTTTTTTAACCTCATATTTTAACTAGAAAGCTAAAAAGTTAAAATGAGGCCTTAGGCCATCTCCAACGGTGCATCAAATTGTGCATCAGATTTGAAATTTGATGAAAAAGTCATTTTTTCTCCCTCTAATGATTTCACCAAACTGATATCAAATTGAGAATTAAGCAAAAATTTCATCAAACTGAGAATGCGTTGGGTCTTTCATCAAAACACTATTTATTACCGTTGTATTTCACTATCGGATGACCCACCGGATGACCAATTTTGTGCAAAATTTTGTACAGATTTTATACTGGGTGGTCGACCTCAGGATTGACCCCCTGGATGACCTTCAAGCTTAAAAATTCAATTACAGAATTGTACAAATTTTGCTCTTTCCGGTCAACCGGCCGGTCGTCCATGAAAGGTACAGTACACCGT